TCTGAAAACACCCTAACTTGGTCTCATAAATGTAATCTTTATTTTTTTTCTTTTCTTTGTTCAGAAAAAAATGCTAGGTTTTGACCTATGATTTGTATTCATTGACAAAACATTTCCATATTTCTACTTCATAAACATGGGCTTCAGTGAGTAATGGCTCATTAAAATTTGCTGTCCAACCAGCACAAAGTCTAGTTAGTCAGCAGCCTATTGACACACAACATTGAGATCGATGACAATTTAAATGTCTGTTCGTTGTTACTATCGATCTGATACAAACTAAGTGTTAAAGTTCAGTCCAAAAAGCAGCACATGGTCTTTTAAAATCTGGCCATTGAAGGTGGATGTTCCCTACGCAATAATTGTATACTAATCACCTTCATTACTGCGGCGAGTAAGTGCAGTTCTCTGCTTGTGTCCTCACCTCAATACCTTGTCTAATGATGTATTCAATTACTGTGACCATATTGAATATCAATGAAACATACAGTATGCAGCGTTCATTTAATTCTAAGTGCATCCCATAGCCGATGGCTAAGATTTTGCAATCTCTGACTCTCACATAAACATTTAGATGTGCATTTGGCCTCCTGTGGTGAAAGCATTGTTGGTCTGTTTGGAGGCAGTCTAAATAACATAACATCTGCAAAAACCACAGGCATTATATACATTCTCTGCACATCAGAGAGTGCAAAAAGGCTGATCCCAGCATCATTCACACAACCTTATGCTTGTGAACCCCACGTGTTGTGTGAACAGAACTATACCACTGCAATAAACCAAACGCTTGCTTTATCCTACTGAGAGAAGAACTGCAGAATGACTATCATCCCAGCAAGACTCATCTCAGAGGATGGCTGAAGTTGAGAGTTTAAGTTAGACTTGAATTGAACTTTCTTGTTTATTTGTTTCTTGAATTTAACTTGCCTTCGTTCAAAATCTACAAACACAAGCTAGTACAGCAACACCTTTTAACTCAGTAACTGACTCTCTAAAATTAAATCTAAAATCCTCAGTGTGAGAAACTTACCGCACCTAACTGTTAACTTACAGGTTCATGACAGTGGGACTCCTGATGCTGCATATGACAGTCTGATAAAGATCATTCAAGATTCCATCAAGGACACGATCCCTGAAAAGACAGTCTAACCCCCAGAACCCTTGGATTACAAGGGGAATTTTGAGGTAGTTTAAATATAAAAGGTAGGCTTTATAAAACCTACATGAAAAATCCTTCTAGCTTAAATGAAAACATATTTCCTATAAAAATAAATTAACGCAGATCATAAGAAAAAGCAAAAGAAGTCATTGCACGAAACTGTTAAAATTGTCGCAGGGGGACTGCAGGAGGTCATGGAATGTGTTCAATGAACTTCTCAAACATCATTCGACTGCTCTACCTGACAGTGGTGATGCCAAAGCTGATCTTGCAGAGTTTTAATAATCATTTCGCCTCAATAGGTGTAAATCTGTCTAGAAAGATAAGCCAACCCCAGGGTTTCACCTTCAAGCATTTTCTTTCTGGTAGCTACATTCATTCATTTCTCATGATACCAACAGACTGAACTCCTCAAGATAATTTTGGACTTAAGAAGCTCATGTTCCGCTCGTGTGGATGGAATAAGTCGTCATTGTAGAGGCACTGGCTCATTGCATCAATCTTTCTTTATTTGTTGGCACTGTACCTAAAATGAAAAAAAAATTGCTAAGATAATCCACAATTTTAAATCGGGCGACAGAAATGATATGAACAATTACCGGCCCATATCAATCCTACCCACTTTCTATAAAGTATTGGAGAAAGTGGTATACAATAGACTCAGTGGTTATCTTGATAAATTGGATATTCTTGTTCCTTCTGGCTTTGGAAAAACGGAGCACAACCTGTATGGCAATACTCAACTAATTTTAGTATTGAAGAGGGAAATGTGGTGGTATTTTCTTGGACCTACTGTATCAAAAGCCTTTGACACCAATGACTTTGATATCTTATTGCACAAATTACATTGATTGTACAACGTTGGTTGGTGCAACGATGCATTCTTGCAAATAAATGTGCTAAAAACTAAAAGACATGCGTATTGACTTTAGGCTTAATCAAACTGATCTGAGGAGAACAACAATCAAAAGAGCAGGAGGTTGATGTTGTGGAATCATATACCTGGGGTGTGTGATTGACAAGTTGAATTTTATTGTTAATGTGGAGATGATTTGCAAAAGGGGCCAGCAACGTCTGTACTGTCTACGGAAACTGTCCAAATTTAAAGTTGATAGGTCCTTGATGATTTTATTCTATAAATCTTATATTGAGTCTGTTATGCTGGTATGGAAGTCTTGGTGTGAAGACAAGGCCTGCTTTGATGAAAATAGTAAATACTAGCAGTAAGATCTTCCCTACTTCCCTAGTGTCACCCTGACCTGTACAATCGACAGGAAGCTATAGGAAAGTGTGATCCATTTTAATGGTTACTTCACATCCTCTCTATTCTGAGTTTCAGTTTTTACCCTCAGGATCTCGATTGAGATTTCCCTCGGTTAGAAGTAACAGGTATAAACATTCATTTATTCCTACTTCGATTTCTCTGTTAAATTTGGGTATGCAGGGAGTGGGTGGAAGGAAGTTCTTTGGGTTTTGTGTGGGTACTGTGTGTGTGCTTATTTTAGTGTTAATTTGTGAAGGTACCTTTTAACTTGTACTGATATGATTAATGTATTGTAAATTGTCCTTTTCTATGCTGTCTTGCTGTGAAATTAATTGGCCTTTGGGGACATACACAAACGAAGTAAATCATCACTACGGTATCACAGGTCTAGCACTTGAATGGTTCAGAAGTTATCTTTATGAGAGGGAACAGTACTGTACGTCTATGTTAATGATCAAAACTCTACTTGTAAACCCATAATCTTTGAGGTCCCCCAGGGCTCAATTTTGGGGCCACTCTTATTTATTCTATACATGAATTATTTTGTAAATTCCTCTAAAATATTTCATAAAATATTTTTTTTTCTTCCTGACGACACAATTTATTTATATCACACAGGAACCCACATATTTTACAAGATATAGTCAACTCAGAGTTAACCAAAGTTGACTCCTGGTTTACTGTAAATGCAACAAACTGTCATTAAATGCCCGCAAAAAAAAAAAAAAATTCAGTTCATTTAAATCGAACAAAAAATCCTCTTTAAAAAAAAACAAAAACAAACACTGCTCACTGCCTGATTAAAATTGGGCAGGTGATAAAAAGAGTGCATTTCACAAAATGTCTGGGGATCCTCACTGACAAATCTCTTTAAGTGTCATATTGACCATCTTGTAAATAAACAAAGTATATTTAAAAAGTATGTTGTCTTGTTCTATAAGATCAGACATTTCCCTCCTCTGTCTGCTCTTTTTATGTTGTACAAAACTCTCTTTGAGCCGCAGCTTAATTATTGTAATGTGATATGGTGCAACACTTTTACAAGTCATCTAAAAAAAAACTTGAATCCTTGCAAAAGAAAGCCATATGGGCTCTGTCCTGGTCAGAGAAAATTCCCCCCACCCACCCTCTATTCTATCTCTTTGAGTTATTAAGACTAAGTGAGCTAAATGAATTTCATAATGCCTGTCTTATGTTTCAAATTGTAAATAAGCTAAACTCTAGACTGAGTATCTCCAGCCCCCAGCACACATACCAAACAAAAATCAAATCACTTATATTTGGAAAATGCCACAGACATGATTTGGAACAGAATTGATGATGGCCAACTTCTCCAACTTCAATCTCATCTCCAACTTCAAAAGACAACTAAAAAATAATTTAATATTAACCTATATCTAATTTTAAAAAAATTCTCATGGATTACTGGAATTTGTGTGTATGACTGTATGTATGTTTTGTTATGGTACACTGTGTGTACAATTACTCATCATCTGGTTTCAGGTGGTAACTGTACACCTTGTCTGACTGTATCACTACCCTTTCATAACCATGGGCCCCCACCTATGAGCTTTTTTAGCTTCTTTGGGACACCCATTCACTAAACCCAATTTATTCTGTTCCCCTAAATGTTTTATTGCAATGTTTGAAGAGGCATTGTGAATAAACTAAACTACAATGCAACACAAAACCAGATGGATCAAAACATATCTCCCACTTGCCAAGCTGTTGCTCCTTATGATAAGATTGACTGACGTGCAAAAACTCTTGAGTCACCATACCACTATACATACAGTAAACATGGCAACACCATTCACTATAAGAAGTCACAGGCAATTGTAGAGCAGGGTTGCCAGATTTTGCCTAACATTCCCAGCTATAAACATTTACATGAAATAAGAATAACTTTTGGTATTCTTTTGGTTATATATATATATATATATATATATATATATACACACACATATATACATATATATATATATACATATATATATATATATATATATATATATATATATATATATACACACATATATACATGTACTGTATATACACATACATATTTGAAATAGTATGTGTGTGTGTGTGTGTGTGTGTGTGTGTGTGTGTGTGCGCGCGTGTATATTCACTAATATCACTCCAGATATATTCCATATCAGGAAATGTGACGTAACATTAACAGCAAAACTGTCCACAAATGCAGGGTGCGTCTTTGTAATTAAAATGTATTACTGATTTATTAAAATGTATTTGTGATTTTTGTGATATTTGCATCTTTACTACACAAGAAAACATGAGTCTATTTAATTAAATGTTTGGATGTTTTAACAAAATGAATGGTTTTAATGGCTGGGGTTCATGAAGCACATTACTATGAAAAAAGGTTAGCTGTTGAGAGCAATGGCTAGAAATCTCATTAAAAGAAAATGTTCACCACCTTGATCTTTTCAAAGAATGGTTCAGGGCAAGAGGTATGACTACAGCTATAGTGTGAATACATGCTGGGATAAAAAAAGAAAGAAAAAAGTGCAGTCATTTGCAAACACAAACAGAGGTGTCATTTAAAATACTCACATCATCTGTTCTGAGCTTCTTAGCTGGACATCCCCCATCTACTGGATGCAACATGTAATATAGACGCACTTTGTTCGCATGTTTCCGGCTCTGAAAGAGAAGAGTGGGGGTTGTACATTAATTTTGTACACAATCACTATGTTCTGCAATCACAGTATTGTAAGAGAATACGATGACTGTATTGAAATATCTTCCTGATCCGAGCATTTTTTAGCCTTATAAAATGTAATTTTTCATGGTTCATCTATCTGAGTTTTCCATCCTTGGACAGACCAGAACGTTTTTGAATTGTGAACAAAAAGTAAGTAGTAAAAAAAAAAAAAAAAAAAAAAAAAAAAACATAAGAGAGCACTGGAGCAGACTGAGTGAAGCGATTGGCAGTGCCCATCAAATGCACAGGCCAATAAATAATTACTGTGGTTGGCGTTAAGTGAGTGTGGAGCCACACATCACAAACCCATCAATTACTTGGATTAGACAGCTCAGCTTTCAGAGAGTGGGCCAAATCAATTCACTGCTCAGTTTACCTGAAAATGATGTTGTTTGACAAGAGGGTAATTGAACTTCATCCTCAACACAAAGGCAAGAGGCAAAGTGTGCAAATGAAGGACAGAGTGGCACTGATAAATATGCATTGAAAGCCACTCATTTCCTCTTAAAGAAGTAAAAGATTTCTTTGTCTGTTTTTCTTAGACCTATAAAAAAAAAAAACATGGACCTGAAGAAGAAGCAGATCTGACGAATCAGATGAATGTGGTTAAAAAAATATGATATGTCAACTTGTGTTTGAAGATTGCCTGAGAGAATCTTATTAGTCCAGTCCTCCTATTTCTCCCCTCTAGAGAGTAAATGTGAAAAAAAAAAGACATGGAGAGATCGAAAGAGACAGATGGAACTGAGAATTATTGAGAATGATGCAGCACCTGGAGAGTGTGGAAATGCAGACATAAATATTTCTCTTCAACCTCTTCGACAACAATTCTATCCATAATTTCCTTTCAGTTTCCCAAAACACCAGCAAACACTAAATATACAAATTTGATGGGAGGAATAAATAATATTTAGTTGTTTTGCATTCGCTTACACAATTTTTCTTCCCATCTATTTTTTGGGAAGAATAATAAGAAAAAAAAAGAAAAAGAAAAAGTAGTAGTAATAGTTTGAGATCAACTGCTTTACAGCCACACTCCTCAGCAGCAAACAGCGGGGTTGCATTTGAAGAAATTACACGTGTGGACTAATCTGACCCAAAGTATAGTGTTAAGTTTTGTTTTTTTCAAGTCCTTATGGGAGTCTTGGGTAAGGTTATTACATGATGGAGGTAGACTAAACTAGTGAAGAGTGAAGTAAACTCAGATTGGGGTTGAACTGTCACAGCAATAGATTTAGAGAGCCATAATTTAGCTCTAAGCACAAAAAGCACATGATGTTCCAAACCCCACTGTCATTTGGCCAGAGGAAAACATCAAGATCTACTCATGGGTGAGCACAGGGGTAAAATAAATGGCAAATAGAGAAAGCTTTCAAGACTCATTACTGTAAAAGGACCCACCACTCCACTAGTAAAGAACTGTTTGCTGAGACGTGTCTCCTTCAGGGTTTGCTTTACATTTTCATATCAAAAGTGAGTTAAAGAGATGACCTAATCAATACTGAGTTCCATGCACCGCATCCAAGTTTATTCACTTGAATCGGACTCAGTTTTATCTAAAACATCATATGTTTACCTCAAACATGATGATGCTGCAGTTTCTAATATAATATTAAAAGAATAATTAGGAGAATATTCTCACTTTCTAAGGGGGCTTTTTGAAATGGATTCGTCAAGGGAAAAGCAGAAGCACCTTTAGAAATAACAACAGTCTGCATGTCATAAGGACTCACAAATTAAAGCCAAAGACTGTTTAGTGGCACATAGACACTTCCATGACATTTTAGAAGGACACTGATACCAAACAAGCTCCGAGTTAAATTTTGGGTTGTAGATTTTTCAATCTGACAATGCAATTCAAAAGAAAAATGGTTCATAAGGAAAAGGACTAATTTATTTAACACATTACATCCTTCTCATAACGCGAACTGTTCTTAAGCTGGACTTTGTCAATACTGATTTACTTCATGGCTAACTAGCTTGGTAGAGTTTTGACTCCTAAGGAAGACAGAATTATGTCATTACCATAGGGGGTAATGTTTATTCACATTTCTATAAAATATAGTTCAAAATATAGGCAAGGCAAGTTTATTTATATAGCACATTTCATACACTATGACAAACAACAATTAAAATAATCACAAAATAAAAGCAAGAAAAATTAAAACAGTTACTGAAGAAATTAAAATAGATACATGATAGATCATATTTTTCACAACACCCAGGATGACTCTGAGATGTACCCATGGTGATCATTACACTGGGGAAAAAAAAAACAGGGCAGGCTTTATGCATTCTAGGTATTCTAATATTATTTCACTCTAATGCAAAAACTCTGCAAGATAATTACTTTATAAATTAATAAAATGTAAAATATTGGTCGCTGTCAGACAGTAACCTTGTATCGCCTTTATAATTTTTTGTTCTCTTCATAAATCATTACTATTGGTCACTATTTACATCTGTCAGAGGTTTTGTAAATATTTAACCAATGAAATGCATTTTAAAGATCTTGCGACTAAACCTTATAACTGTTGTGAATCATCAGAGTCAGAGAGATCCATTTGCAGCTTTCCTTATTGAACGGAGCTGTTAAACAGGCGAGGGTCAAAACCAGCAGACACAGCAGTGTAGACAGGGCTAAATCGTAACATAAATATCAGGCAGAAGGTCGAGGCAGGCGGATAACAGTCAGAGTCCAAGAACCAGGCAGAGGTTACTTAGGCGGGTGGCAGACAAGATGATATCAAGTACAAATGGAGTCACAAATGATCAGGTAGTCGCAGGGATAAACGCTTAGTAAAGTTCAGGATAGCAAAAAGACTTTGCACAGAGAGCGGTGTGCAGCGCAGCTAAAAACCCTGATAGATGAGCTACAGCTGGGCATAGTAATCAGAGTCAGAACTGGTGCTATTGTTAAAAGTAGTCTCCACCCGGAAGAGTCAATATTCAGGCGAAGGCGCCCTCTGATGGCCAGAGAGAGAGGTTACGGAGTCTGGATTGTGACGGTGGGGGAAACTCCTTGTCGTCGAAACACTGAAGTAATAATTTAAAACGCAGTGCAGCAACACGGCAAACACAGCAGAAGTGTCTATCTCGATCATTGGTTGTTCTCCGGCAACTGCACATCCAATGGCCAAGCACCTCAGACGCGCGACCCAATCAACTGACTTGTCAGAGTGGAATGGGCGTAGCCTAAGCCTATAAAGATCGCTCTGATTTAATATCTGATTTACCCTGATTTAGTCCCACTGAAGCTTTTCACCCTCAAATCAAGCCAGATCAGCTATAGACGAATCCGGCGAAACTACCGGAAGTAAGCGGGCGCCATTACTGAGCTGTTGCTGGGTAGCGTTGCGCCATTGCCTTCTATTGTTTTAGTTGCAACTTGCGTCCACTGGAATAAACAGCTCGCGATTTACGACTGTCACTAACGTTACAACGTTAGCCCTTGTATAATGTCGAGTGGGTAAACAGTTTCCGTTATAAATTGTTTTAATGGTGGCAGTAAAATTTCAATTTTGAAGAGAAAACATTGTGAATACCCCGGGTCGACTGCCACTGTCTGGTGCCGTACGGTTTACACAGATTTCCTGGGCGAGTACAAGACGCGGACATTCGCGTATAATAACAATTATTTAATGACATAAGTAAAAAAATATAATAAATGTGTGATATAGTGATCAGCAAAATCTCCTCTCTTGTTATTTTTTCTATTCAATTTACATGCTATGGTCATTAAATGGCTTTCCTGAGCTGAATGTAACGTTATGTGACATAATTGTTCTCCTGTTATATTGACTTCTTTCCATGGTTTAAAAACAGTAGTTGGTCGATATTATGTATACTTTCTAGCTGTAACGTTACCTTACCCATGCCCGTTGCAATGTAAAAATGAGATAAATAATGGACACAAATGAAAAACATGAAATTGTTTATTTGATTTCATTTATTTATTTATTTATTTTTTGTCAAATGGACAGATCTTTTTTTAGTTTCCTCGTTAGCAAACGTTAGCCTAGCTAGCTTGCCAAGCTATTTTCATAAATAATCTGTAAGATCGTTTGTACCTTCATCTGTGACTGGAGGCCAATGTCTAACATCATCAACCCAACAAGTCTGCCTGGCTGTAGCTGTCATCAAGGGTGCGTTATCACCTTATCTCCGAGGTTTGTTTACATACTGGTGCATATGTCTATGCCGGTGTAACAGCTCAGTAATGGCGTCGCCACAAGATGGCAGCCTACACAAGAACGCTCGTCGGATTCGTCTATAGCAAGCCTTGAAAACAGTGGACAGCTCCTTTTTAACTCATCCGGAAGCCGCTCCTCTTCTGTTGCTCCTGTGGCCATCTGGCGAGACAATCCTATAACTGCCTTCTCCGTGAATCAAAGACAACACGTGCGTTTTCATGCCTGGAATCAAACCACGTTGAAACTGCTCTTTCCCACCACAGCTGTTCACTGCAAGAACAAGCCGCCTTTCTCTCGCCGCTTGCGGCTAGCTTCCTGTACGCCAGTGAGCTACCCCGTCCTCACGCTCGGTTGCGCGTGCCCTCCTCTGCACACGCTCTTCACTCACGGGTGGCTGGAAATGTTCTCAAACCAGTTACCAATCCCATTACAAGGCAGATGCCACTGATACTGCACATTGTCACTGCAGTTAATGCGCCCGCTGCGAAGCATGCACCGCGACAGATAGTTACTGCTTCAATAGCAGCTCTGATAGAGAGAGACATGAGTGTTCACAAACCAGTCCAGGCCCGTCATAAGACACACTCCTCAAAAAATAATAAGCAAAAAAAAGAGTGTTTCAAACGCACAACACCAGGGTAATCGGTCCCCATTCATTAGGCGATCCCTACCCAGTTGCCACTCTTAGGTTTGTCAAAACAACCCAAAAGAAAACATTTGCACAAAACACAACATAAGGGTATTAG